GATTGCTGATAACATCCAGCCCTCCCCGCAACAACCCAGACCCTTCCAAACAATCAATAATAAAATCCAGCCCTCCCTGCAACAAAACAGCCCCTTCCAAACAATTGACAAACTTTACTTCTTTCACCATACTTTGAGCAAAATACTTTGCCAACCATTCATGCTTCAAAAATGTTTTTGAAAACATATCCTTAAAATGCAGGTAAAATGTTGTAGTCTTCTCCATTTAATTTACAATCCCATCATTTCAAATGTCCAAAATTATTTGTGCTCTGAAAGGCAGAGTCCCGGCTTTTCTTTCAGCTCCAAATCATCTCTTTTCCAAACTGTGACCAGTGCTCGTCATAAGCGCTTGCTGACCGTTTTAGAGTGACAGCTGAATTGCTTTTGCTAAATGTGTGACATGCTCACTGGGAAACTGGCGATTTTCAGTAGGCATTTTAATATGGAGCGTTAAGTTTAAGTGTGTTTTAGAAACTCTTGTAGTTCCTGCGTATGATTGCCTGCATGTACATCAGACAGCTGTAACTGGATTGTCATTCTGAGATCAGCACTTGGTGTTGCCAGAGCCTGGCAGTCCTGATGTTTGTCTTGAAACGCTTCTTGGGGTCTCGTGAACAAGTGGGAAACGCAGCCCAGTCAGTCTTATACCGTAGGTCACCTGTTTTTAAAGATGTAGTGGAAGAAACACCTGTTGGCTCCTGATAAATTAAGCAAGTACTCTGTTCATATAAGAGGACTATGGACCTTGAAGGCTGAAGAGCACTTAGATTTTAGCATTGAGCTCATTGAGCTAATTTAAATTAAATGTCATTAATTTAATCTGTTCTAGATTTAATGGTGACCTACAACTGCAGCACAAGGTACAGATCTCTGTTCTAGACTGAAGAAATTGAGTTCCCTTTAACCTGTTCACATACTGTAGCTCAGCTGCCTGACACCAGGAGCCCGTCCTGCTCTTTCCCAGCCTGCAGCAGCCTGGGCTGGTGGGAGAGGGGTGGTGGTGGTGGTGCTGGGGGGGGTGTGTGTCTGGTGTTCAGTTCCCCCCGGGGCCTGACGAGTGCCCGCTGCGCTCCTCGCCGCGCAGGTTCGACCTGAAGGCCCTGCCGGTGGACTTCGTGGAGTGCCTGATGCGCTGCCTGCCCACGGAGGCGGAGGTGAAGGTGCTGCGGCAGTACGAGCGCGAGCGGCGGCCGCTGGACCAGCTGGCCGAGGAGGACCGCTTCATGCTGCTCTTCAGCAAGATCGAGAGGCTCACCCAGAGGATGAGCATCATCACCTTCGTGGGCAACTTCCAGGACAACCTGTCCATGCTGACCCCGGTAACTCGGCCTCCCTGCCCTCTGCCTGTCCAGCGCGGCCGCGCTGACACCCTGTGAGAGAGAGAGAAAGTTCTTGAGTGTTCTTGAGATGTGGAGCTTTCGAAGTTGAAGGCACGTTGTGTAGCCTTCCTGGTTAAAGGAGCTGGCCTCTGTCGACCTCTGACCTCTTGACCTCCTTTTCCCCAGCAACTGAATGCCATCATCGCTGCGTCTGCGTCCATGAAGTCATCGCCCAAGCTGAAGAGGATGCTGGAGGTAAGGTGCCAGCCCGGGCTGTCCCCCTTCTGCCCCCGGGGGTGCCACACAGCCGCGAATCCTGATGGGCAATGGTGGCGCTGGGCTTATCCAGGTCCCCGTGTTCGGCGTTCCATATTTTATACATAAATATTGGATCATGGGCGGGGACACTGTGTTTTGAGGTACCCTCTTTCATTAAAGAGTTTATGTACCTCTTGGGTCCCCCTGTCCTGAGGGGTGAGATGGGACGCCCGAGTAGCACTGGCTTCCGAAAAGGTGTTAAGGCTGAAGCGGATTAAAGGTTTGAGGTAAATCGCGTCCACCAGGGGCCGTTGTCTGGGATGTAGTGCTGTGATCTGCCACAGGCCCTCCGGTGAGTAATGTTTTGTCCCAGCCATCGCAGTGCTCAGCTCCTCTCTCCCTGTGCAGATTATCCTGGCCTTGGGGAACTACATGAACAGCAGCAAGAGAGGGGCTGTCTACGGGTTTAAACTTCAAAGCCTGGATCTGGTAAGATCTCCTGTTGTGCGTGTGTGTGTGTAGGGGGGTATTTTGTACTTTACAAGATCAGGGAAGGAAGGAGGAAAAAGAATCAAGCTGGAAAGTAACACAAAAACCTTGTTAAATAAAGAATCCATCTTTAAAAGTAATCACAGACTCCTACAAACAGCAACCAGAGGCAGAACACTCCGCTTCTCTCACTGTGTGCAGCCACAGAAATGTACATGAAAACATACGATAGGTTACAAATTCTGTAACCTATATCGGGGCCATATGTCAGTGTGCCACATGGGGGCACCCACTGTGTTAATCCTCTGATAACTAGTCTTCAGTTGGCTCTCTTTCTTGATCCAGCAGTTAATTGCTTATCTGTGGGACAGCAGGCTTTGCGCCACGTGGGTACACAGCCCACCTCCTGGAGGTCTGGTTGCTGGTGTCGTGATGATCTGTGAATTGCACTGGAGGATCCCAGAGATCCTGGCTAAGCAGCGTGGTGCTGTGTTCAGTACCCCCACTGTCTGTGTAAAGATGCGCCTCCCATTTCTCTTCAAGAGGCTCCCAAACGTAAGGCCTCCCCTGTTTTTCTGGAAGATGATCAGTACCTTTCAGGATTGTTTCAGGAACCTTTTTTTTTTATTATTTGAACACAAATCTAATCCAGGGCCACATACACTGCTCCCCTCCCCACTGCAGCAAACGGACACTGAATTTCTGTGCGTGTCTCGGGCTCAGCCTGAAGGGCGCAGCGTTTCTTCACAGGCTGTGTCCTCTCTCTCTGCGCAGCTCTTGGACACTAAATCCACCGACCGGAAGATGACCCTGCTGCACTACATCGCCCTGATTGTGAAGGAGAAGTACCCCGAGCTGTCCACCTTCGGGAGCGAGCTGCACTTCATCGACAAGGCTGCCGCAGGTCAGGCCGCAGTCAAGGGGGTGACCGCATGAGGGGTTTCAGCAGAGAATCTCGCCCGCGGGGGGGGGGCTCTGCATGGGGACGAGTCATCGGGGGGGGTCTCACTGTAAGAATCAGGAGCTCAGTAGGCTCTCCTTCTTCCAGAATGAATTGCAATGGGGCAGAATTAATTGCAATCCACGGGCCAGCAGGGCTTATTCCACAGCATTCTGCCCACCTCCAGAACGGTGGCATTCCTGAGGTCCGGGATTGTGTGAGGGTTCCCTCAGCACACCTTGCTCTTTAGCAGTCTGGGAGGTGTGGCTTCAGCAGCCCTTCCGGAGGGAGACTGGAGCCAGGGGGTCCCGAGTGGCGTCGGAAGCCTTGGGGGGGGGGTGGTGCAGGCGCTCTGCAGGCAGGCGGCGACAGGGCCCGTTCCCAGCGAGCTCTTCGGCAGCGCTGCAGGCTGCCCTGCAGGGTGGTGAATACTGGGCTGGGGGCCGCGGGGCCGGGGACGGAAGGCCGCTGTGTGTGTCTGACGCCGCCGGCGGTCTTGCAGTGTCCCTGGAGAACGTGCTGCTGGATGTGCGGGAGCAGGGCCGCGGGATGGACCTGGTGCGCCGGGAGTGCAGCCTGCACGACCACGCGGTGCTCAAGGCCTTCGTCAGCAGCAGCGAGGCCCAGCTGGAAAAGCTGCAGAGAGACGCCAAGACCGCGGAGGTACCAAGCCGCTGCGCAGCCCTTACAGCGTCCCCTTTCGGGGCTGCCCCTGCAAAATTGAAGGGAAGGGTTATACTTCAAAGAGCCCGAGTATCACTTCTCAACCCTGTTCTCTCCTCTCACCCCCCTTCCTCCTCTCCCGCCTCGTCCTTTCCTAATCCTCCCCCTCTCTGCCCCTCCTCCTCCTCCTCCCCTCCCTGGCCTTGCTCTTGTCCCTCGCAGGAGGCCTTTAACATCGTGGTGCAGTATTTCGGGGAGAACGCCAAGACCACCCCTCCGTCGGCCTTCTTCCCCGTGTTCGTGCGCTTCGTCAGGGCCTACAAGGTAAGGTCAGAAGCCCGCCGGTCATCATCGTGAGCCCATGACCGCCTGACCGCAGCCTGAGAGTCCCGCTCGGGTCCGCAGGCCTTGAACCCCCAGGAGCGGAGGGACTTCTCTTCGCTGTCTGCGAACTCCATCGCGCTCGGTTTCGGGACGCCCGCATTGCCTCTGTGCCTTGGGGGTGTCTTTCAGGCTGCCGGACAGCACACTGGAGTGTAGCCACTCACAGGAGGTCAGGGAAGGTTAAGTAAATATCCCTTCATGGAGAGGGCGTCCAGTGGCAGGGTGGCCAGCAGTGGGAGTCGAGATGAGTGTGACCACCTGTTCCAGACCCCAGTTTTCGGTGGGGTTGGGCAGCTGGCCGGCTCACTCCTCCATCTGACTCTGCTAAACTGTTTTGCCTACCTCGCGCACTGTTGGATCATTAGCTCTGGGAAGCCCCGAGGCCTCTTCGTTGCCGTCCTGAGAGATGAGTAGCCCAGGAAGTGGGAACTGAAGCCAAAGCCTCGCGCACAGTCGCTCGCAGGGCCAGAGGTTAACGACAGGAAGGAGCCGCCGGGCCCCACCGCTCCAGCCCCGGACGCCCGGCTTCCTGAGATTGTTCTCCATGGATTTATTACCCCGAGTGCAGCCGGCACACAGAGGCTCTGCCAAGGGCTGTGCGTGCTGTACGGCCGGCGGTATTCACTGCTCCCCGGTTTGTTTAAGTAGGGGGTTCGGTCCGTACACACGGGGCCACAGCGGGCGCGTTCCTGTGGACAGCAGCGAGCATCGGGGAGCAGCGGGATGCTCGCAGCGAGCCGACGTGCTGGAGAGCGAACCGTAAGGGGGGGGCGGTCCCCTGTGTGTGTTACCCCCAGCACCTCAGCCGTCAAAGCCACAGCAGAGGGGCCTGCTCCTGTCTTCCAGCGCCCTCGGAGTAACGCGGGCACAGACCGTTCCACCTTTCGCCCTTGCAATGTACAAAGCAAAGTCCTCAAGCGAAACCGGGCCCCGCTGTTTGGCCGATGAGGGCCTGATGTGCCCTGCCTCTCTGCTCTTGGGGTGCGTGTGGCGAAGTGCGTGTGGCCAGGCCTCACAGACGTCCCTGTGTCTGTCTCTGTGCGCAGGAGGCGGAGCAGGACAACGAGCTGAGGAAGAAGCAGGAGGCGGCCATGCGGGAGAAGCTCCTGGCCCAGGAAGCCAAACAGCAGGACCAGAAGGTAGGAGCGGGCCTGGGGTGGGCCTGACACGGGTCCGAGGTGGCTACAGTTTTTGGAGGGCCATCATCTCTCCTCTAAAGGTGGCAGAAGCAGCAGTTCACAAGGGAACAGGACAGGATTGCAGCCACTGCCGCTGTTTCTAATGTTCAGGGTGCTCTTACAGTTTATTAGCCTATTCAAACCACTACTGTGAACACGGAGCTCCGTGGCGCAGTGGTATTGTGTTCCTGTCTAAATGGGAACACTGGGGAGCATGTTGCCATGACTGGTGACAGACAGTAGAGGGTGCTATGTTGCCTCTTAATGGTTGCATGTGCCTCCTGGGGGGCACCAGTGAATTTTGCTTCCTCTGGTGTGTATTTCACAAAACTGTCTGAAGTTGCATAAGATTGATACTCTTGCACCACATACACTGGGAACCAACGGTAAACTGACCATCGGAAAAAAATGTAATGAAAATGCAAAGCACCGATAACTGTGGCTGAACTGCACACAGACACAGGCGCAGAAGACCAAGCGCCAGCAGCAACAGGACCTGATCGCGGAGCTGAGACGACGGCAGGCCAAGGACCACCGGCCCGTGTACGAGGGCAAAGATGGCACTCTGGAGGACATCATTACAGGTATGGTGCAGGCGTCTCCCTCAGTCTGTAGGACACCACCCCATGGAAGGGCGCAGGCGTCTCCCTTGGTCCATAGGACACCAGCTAAGGGCACAGGCGTCTCCCTTACTCTGTAAGATGCTGGCTCAGGTAGGGCGCAGGCATCTCCCTCACTCTGTGGGACACCAGCTCAGGTAGGGCAGAGGTGTCTCTCACTCTGTAGGACACCAGCCCAGG